TTTTTTTTAGCAATAAGAGTGTTTCTTGACCATGCATCACAGGATACAGGGAGTTCAATCCTTTAATAGCTGGCAGGATAGAGGTGGAGGACATCCCAGTGGTCCCCAACTGGCACAGTAGACTATGGTATGCAGACATAGTAAACTCCAGACAGACTCTGTGGACACTACTGGATTGTCCAGGCCTCCATTCCAAAGGACGGGTATTCTACCCTGCTTGTCGCTAGCTTTAAAACCATGGCTGTTGAAGCTAGATCTTGAAGGACAGAGAGCTTTTGGTTTGCTGTCATCCTTATGCTCCTAAAAGCTAGGAAATAGACCTCCCACAAGGACTACCATCACACCTAGAAGGCTCCCAGATAGCAAGGATAACTTGCCACAAACTTGTGGCAGGGTTAAATTGTAATTTGTGTTAACTTGCTGCACACATTCCTGGCAAGTTGTAGACTTACAGAACACTCGCAGCACAAGTTCTAGTTGACACTTTTTGAATTTTTAGCAAATCTGCTTGGCAAGTCTACAGCAAGAGTCCTGCAGGTCTTAGCAGAGGCGGCTCTCTAATTAGGCAAATTAGGCGGTCGCCTTAGGCCTCGCGCTCGCCTAATTTGGCCGGTCGGCACATTACCTGCAAGCCAGGTAACATTATGAGCTCTCAGCCCTGTCGCTGTCAAAGCGAGACTCTGTTTGACAGAACAGCGACAGGGCTGAGAGCTCATCCGTTTTCTCGGTCTATCCACTCGTCTGGTCTGCTGGAGCTCCGTCCACCAGCCAATGAGACGAGACCTCACCCCTCCCATCCACCGCACGAGGATCTCTATCTGGCTGGGAGGGCGGAGTTTATCATCAGAGGCAGATGTCGCCGGGAACGAGCTGGTCTTGCACGATCCCATCCACTCCTGCCTGCGAGATGCGACCTTCACAGGATGGTGAGATCTGGTCCCTGCCCGCAAAGCATCATTGTGAGATGCAGCCCTGGTAACAGGTAACACTCACTACATAGAGCCCTTTTGACAGCCCTGTTGAGATCCTAGAGAGCCCTCTGTGGGGTCTCACCAGGGCTCTGTGGGGGTCTAACAAGGCTGGTTAGACCCCACAGGATTTCATAGTTCATAGGATTTAAAGAATGTCCTAATATATACGTTTCATACCTTTCATTTTTATCGCTTGCATTTTTTTCCATTATGGGCCTAAGTGGGGCCTCATGTTTTTTTGCCTAAGGCCTCGCAAACTCTAGAGCCGCCACTGGGTCTTAGCAAGAGATCTGCAAGCTCGCCGGTCTGGAGATTTGCAATGCAGGCAATTTCTTGCTATCTGGGTTGGTGAAAAGCAAGGAAGTTCCCTTCTAAAGTACAGCGTGGGTCACATTTTATCCTTCCTCAATCAGCATTCAGTAGACATGTGCGATTAGTTTCGAAATTCTGACAAAATTTCGGAAATTTGTAGATTCGGAACATCCGAATTTCTGAAATATAACATATCCGAAATCATCCGAATCCAAAATTTTGAATCCGAAATTTCGGATTTGGAACAAATTCCGTCCAAATCCTGTGCGTGCACTGTTAACATTTAAATGGATAAAAACAAATTAAGAGAAGGATTTTAATGTCCCTTTAATAGTAAAGACTAGAGCACAGCAACCAGAAATTACAAATGTGCCAATTCTGCTACCCCACCTCAAGTTGAATTCGTCCGAATCCGACACGAATTCCGAATACGAATCCGATTCCCGAAACACATATAGAATGCAAATTCCAAAAAACAAAATCCGAAACTAAACGAAACAAATTTTTAGCCGCTGCATATGTCTAGCCTTCAGTACCATCAAGCGTCAGATATCTGTCTTGACAACTGCTTGCGTCTCACTCCTTAGTGAAGAGCTTTCTTGCTTCTCACTCCCTAGTGAAGGGCTTTCTTGCTTCTCACTCCCTAGTGAAGGGCTTTCTTGCTTCTCATTCCCTAGTAAAGGCCTTTGTGCCGGATGCTGCCCATATTGTTCCCCATAAGTACATTAGAGTACATGTTTAGATGATTGGCAGCCATGTGCCGTACAGTCATGTAACAGGAACACTGACAAAAATCATCATACCTCTGTCCTACTGTTAATGGAGGACTTGTATATGATGCGTGCACAGCTAGAATAATTTTCTGTCAGTGTTGAGCACAGGAACTGACTGTGATTCCCAATGACAACAGCAATTAGGCATGACATAATATGCAATCCACAACTGTCCTTGATGTAACTGATCTCCTTATTGTGTATTCAATTCAAAGAACTTTTCTCCCACATATTTTTTTCAAAAGTATATTAAATCCAGAGGACCTTTTTCCTGATGTTTGCCGAGTCTCGCATCATTTTTGCCTAAGTTCAGATGGGATATATCGGTGGCATTTTTTTTTAGCAATGAGTTCTCATAATTTTTCTTTCCAAATTTTTGGCCCATCCTGGTTTATTGACCTATATAGATCAGCTATGTATCTCTTTAGCTCTTTTAGTTACCATTGACCTATCAAGTGCTTCTCTAACTTGTGCCCTTATGACCGGGTCACTTCGTTTTTTCAGAGGATCTAATGTATTTGATTTTCATGGTTGTTTAGCTATTTTCTCTAAGAAACAAGTTTATTTTTGTAAAGTTTGTATGAGTTGGTTTTTTGAAAGGTGAACTGTGCAGGTGGGGCTTTCTTTCATATGTTATACTGTATATGCATACTGTAGTAATAATGTTGTGACATGGGAAAGACAATGTCACAACATACAAAGAGAAAATTCACTTAGATTAGTATATAACATCAACTTGCACATTTGGGTATTATTTGCCTAGCGAATTTTCACTTTGTTTCACCTCATTCACTAAGATAGGCAAATTTCACTCTGATAGAGAATATGCTCTACTGCTTTAGTAAATCAACCGTTTTGTGTCCAGTCAATGTGAAGTAAAAACTATTTTTTGGAAAACCAATTGGATTGTCAAGTTGAAGGTGAGGTGGCATTGAACAAGCTGTATATGAGGCCTAAAATATTCACAAGAGTTTCTTTCTAAAGGTGCCCATACACTGGCTGAATTACGGCTGTTTTTTAATGTACCGGCTGAATTTCGCACAGTGTGTGTGACTGTCGGCTCCTCTTCAGCTGGCATTCATCGATCTGCTGATTGAAGGAGCCAGCTGGAAAATCATAGTGGGATCAGAGCCGCCAGCCAATGAGCTGCCCGCTCTGATTGGTATTCTGTTTGTGTTGATGGAGGAATCGCGTCATTTTCTTTTGTTCAGCCCACCAGTTGAACGAAAGAAATGAACAGGTGTATGGCCAGCCTTAGGCTAACATTAAACAGACAGACTGCTTTGTTTAATCTATGATAATGACTATTTATATATGTATATACATACACACACACATACACAATTACAAATCCAATCCAGTTGTAAACACTATGAGGTTCTAGAACAGATATGAGATTAACTGAAAAATGAGCAAAATACAACTTGTGTAACTTGGTAGCAAAACTCTACATACTTTTCTCTATGGCGGTTATTAGGACTTTGTTAGGCAGTATGTGTGTGCCTGGGTGGTAATCCTACAATCTTTTGCTGTCACTGTAAGATCCTACAGTTATTTTAATTTTGAGTATGGTCAGGCTGCATAAAAATATCTTACAACCAAAACATTTTTTCCAAAATTAAAAGTATTTACTCTCAATTTGCATGAGATGTGTTTAAAGGTTGTTTTTAAATGTTGATCCACATTACAATTAGAACTTACAATATATCTGTACAATAAAATCTGTATTCCATAAAATATTGTTTATTTATACAGCATACATTGAAAATGAAGAAACATGTGTTTCTTTCCGTCTAATAAATATGTAATTCATTAAAATGTTTTTGTGTTGTATAAAAGGAAAATGTAAGTTTGATGAAACACACTGCACACAACACATTTTATGGATGAATTGTGATAATTTATTATTGCAGCTTCCTTAATAACACTTTCTTGTTTTCTCTGCAATAGCACAAGATACAATTTTCCAGCAAATTATTTATGAAAGACGATCTGACAATACAAGATATTCTTGATGCTGATAACTACGAGCCGGACTCTGAGCAAACATTAGTAATGCTTTAAAAGTCTTTTCTGTTAACTTATTTCATTCATTTTGTTTTTCAAACAATAAAATATGTTAGAAGCAACTTTTTATCTGCAGTATTATTGTATAGCGATTTAAAGCATAAATGTACTACTATTAAATGACAAGCTGAACTAAGAAAGGATTACTTCTCTTTTACCAAATGACACAAATCTATAATTATATTTACTTTAAAGTAAAAGTCCACCAATGTCCAGATTATGCATGCACATAATAGTTCAGCTTTTCAAGGTCTATGTCTTTATGTCTTGTACTCTGATTCCCCTGCCATGCCAGCTGCCATAAAGTGAGTTTAATGAGATAAAAATATAGGAGCTGCCAGTACTGATGTATTATTAAATGAGTAGGTTGTGGAGGTGTCATCAAGACATTGGCTTCATTACCTAGTGATTTACTGACCTGTAACAACCATAAATGATAAACATTCACACTTGACTTGCTGAATGCTTTTTCCAGATAAGTGACAAATCATGGTAGTAAACCATATTCAACATCAGCAGCATCCGTGTGCTGCTTTTTCTTTGCTTAGTTAGTGCACTATGCAGAGGAGAACGGATAGATAGTTGGACATTGTGAATTGTGTCTTTGTATTCCAGCACATTTTTAAAGGCCAGAGGTCAAGAGGTTCTTGAGATACAGCTGACCATAGACACCTGATTTGGCTGACTTGGATGGGGGTACAATTGATTAGACAAGTTTGGAAACTGTCCTGGGTATAAACTAATGCTGACGGTATCTCCTCCATGTTCCCCACTTCATAGGAATAAATATGTTTGGGTTACCTAGGCTTTCATGTTTATGTCTGCATGCAACAAAAAAAGGACTTTGGTGGAGGTTAGACATAAAACTGGATCCAAATGTCAACAGAGGTCCATGTTTATCTTGAATCAGGTAGTCAAATCAAATGGTAGTACTGTTAGCAATCTTTATACTATTTTTAAAAGCTTTACCGAGACTGATCATAGGATTTCAATAAACAAGAAAGCTTTCCATAAAGGGTTCACTTTTCCCCCAGCAGAACTCTTGCACCAGGTCCAGGTTTTGTGGCAAAAAGGCTTTGTTGGAGTAACGCTGATTTGCGTTCATCTGTTTTGTAGTATTTTTCTTTTACACGTAATAGAAATTCCTCCAGTTTATCTGTAGGTACCATAGAAACCGTACAGCCCCCCCATCCAGCACCGGTAAGTCGAGACCCAACAGCACCAGATTTCCTGAAATTTAAAATATACCGTTTTGTTAGGATTATACCAAAAACAGAAATTTACTCTGCAAAAATAACATAAATGCTGTATGTTCTCTACCCACCCAATCTAACGTACAATAAGTGTCCTTATCATAAACGTACTGTCTGTTTACATTTGTGTAATACAATTTGTCTCACTTACATTTTCCATAGATGTTGGCAACTGCGACCATTTCAGATCCTTACTAAGGACAATACCTTCAACTTTTAGTTATATAAAAGGAAATCTGAGTTCACTTTAAATGTCCCAAACCGTAGGCAGACATTTGTAGCCAGCACCTAAAGTTGCTTGCAGGTATTATATCTCATACCTTGCACCTTTTACACAAAAAGTGCTTTCCTGACTTACAGGGCAATGCCTGCACATACTGTCATCTAAAGAGTTTGTCTACATGTGTCGACTGGATCTTGCCTTTCTGGACAATTATGTCTCTAGAGAGAGAGAATTGCACAATTTTGTTATGTTGCATCTTGATACTACAGTTGTTTATATTCCCTTTTTTCTCATTTATCTACACTCAGTACCCCATAATGACAAAGTGAAAACAGGATTTTAGAAAGGTCAGAATTTATTCAAAAGAAAAAACTTAAATATCACATGTACTTTAGGTATTTAGACACTACTCAGTTCTTTGTTGAAGCACCTTTGGCGGCAATTACAGCCTTGAGTATTTTTGGGTATGACGTGACGAGCTTTGCATACCTGAATTGGGGGATTTTCTGCCATTCTTCCTTGCAAATCCTCTCAAGCTCAGTCAGATTAGATGGGGACCGTCGGACAGCCATTTTCAGGTCTCTTCAGAGATGTTTAATAGGTTCAAGTCAGGGCTCTGGCTAGGTCACTGTAGGGCAGAGTTGTCCTTAAGCCATTCCTTTGTTGTCGTGGCTGTGTGCTTAGAATCGTTATGTTGGAAGGTGAACCTTCGACCCAGTCTGAGGTCCTGAGCTCTGTGGAACAGGTTTTCATTGAGGATATCTCTGTACTTTGCTCCATTCAGCTTTCCCTCAACGCTTATCAGTCTCCCAGTCTCTGCTGCTGAAAAACACCCCCACAGCATGATGCTGCCACCACCACCACCATGCTTCACTGTTGGGATGATATTGGGGGAGGGGGGGGATGGGGAGTGATGAGCGGTGCCTGCTTTCCTCCAGACATAACGTTTAGAATTGAGGCCAAACAGTTCAATCTTGGTTTTATCAGAACAGAGAATCTTGTTCCTTGCAGTCTGAGAGTCCTTCAGTGGCAATTTTGTTTTTGCAAACTCCAAGCGGGCTTTCATGTGTTTTGCACTGAGGAGAAGCTTCCGTTTAGCCCCTCTGCCATAAAGGCCAGATTGGTGGAGAGCTGCAGTGAAGGTTGTCCTTCGGGAACTTTGTCCCATCTCCATACAGGACCTCTGGAGCTCAGTCAGAGTGACCATCATGTTATTGGTCACCTCTCTTACTAAGGCCCTTCTCCCCCGATTGCTCAGTTTGGCTGGGTGACAAGCTCTTGGAAGAATCCTGGTTGTGCCAAACTTCTTCCATTTGAGAATTATGAAGGCCAATGTGCTTTTGGGAACCTCCAGTGCAGCAGAAAGTTTTGTGTAGCCTTCCCTAGATCTGTGCCTTGCAATAATCCTGTCTCTGAGCTCTGCAGGCAGTTCCTATGACCTCATGGCTTTTGCTCTGATACAGTATGCATTGTCAGCTGTGAGGCCTTCTATAGAGAGGTGTGAGCCTTTCCCAAGCATGTCCAATCAATGTAATTTACTACTGGTGGACTCCAATCAAGGTGTAGAAACACCTCAGCAACAATCAAGAGAAATGAGAGGCACCTGAGCTAAATTTCAAGTGTTGTTGCAAAGGGTCTGAATACCTATACCAATGTGATATTTCAGTTTTTTCTTTTTCATACATTTGTAAACATTTCTAAAATCCTGTTTTCACTTTGTCATTATGGGGTACTGAGTGTAGATTAAGGAGAACAAAAAATTTAAACAACTGTACTATCAGGCTGCAACATAACAAAACTGAAAAAAGTGAAGGGGGTCAGAATGCTATATACAGATATATACATATACATACACACATACACACATACACACACACACACACACACACACACTTCAAAGAACTAATGTATTATGCTCACATCTGTTAAAGAATGTTACTAGTTAATGAGATTCAACAAGTTTGTAGTCTGAACAACCCGTGTGTATTCTATTATTGGAGACAACTCCTGGCATCTAGATGGTGGAACATATTGGTTGTAGTTGCCTAATACCGAATTAGAACATCCTCTGTCTGATGAGGGAAGTCTTAAATGTCAAAGTGAATCACTCTGGCATTTTAAGATCTCCAAAAGAACAAGTATTACGTTTGCAGAGTCCCAGAAGACATGATGAAGTATCATTATACGCTCATAAAAGAAGATACACCACCAAATTACGCTGAAATAATGTAAAATGTTACACAATTATTTATACAACAAAAAAAGAGTTCTAAAAGGAAAAAAATTTCAATTAGTACCACAACTTTATCGCTAATCCTTGTCCAAATGTTCACACTCATTTAACATGGAATAAATGCTACTTTTTCACGAAATATGACAATTCATACACTCCTTGTGCTAGAACCACAGATTACAGATATTACTACCTTTAACCAAATGGCACCAGCCTGATAATTAAGTGCAAAGAAAAAGTTACATAAGTTAATGGTAAATAAACGGTTTCAATAGACAATATACAATTTAAGCATTGGGACCGGATAATCTACACCCCAAGATACTTAAGGAACTAAGCGAGGTTATAACAAGACCGTTATTCCTAATTTTTAAGGAAAATCAGTTACAAAACAACAAAACAGAACAGGTCCCAAGCAGCAAATGCTCTTTTAAGGACAATATCATTCACTCTTAAGGTAAAATGCGGCTAATAATAAAAAAACAGGGTCAGATTAACCATAAAGCATGCTATGTGTCTGCAACATGGCAGGGTTTACAGGTAAGGTCCTGTTCCCCTTTTTGTGAAGGCCAGCTCTTGCGAAAGTCCGCTATTCACCCCCTTCCCCACTCAGATAAAGGCTACTAGCAAGGGTTCTATAAAACAAGTATGCAGTTAATGGAGGAGGAGAAGAGCAAGTGAATAAACACACACACACACACACACACACTGAAAGTAGCAGGTGAACTAGGAATGGAACCTAACTGCAGGATGGTAGAGAGAGCGAATGCTGATGTACTGGAATACAGCTCAACATGTAGTGTGAACACCTGGTCCCCTGCTGGGCTATGTGATTCCTCCAGCCAGGTCATGGTAATGACAATAATAATGGCTGATGAAAGGGATCACAACCCACAGTAGGTGACACCATATCCGACACACCCAGTGCACATTTTACTCAATGCCCACTTTAAAAGTAAGTATTAAGGCTTAATATACCTCAGTGCTCTGCCATTCATTTCAAATGTCACACACTGCAGTACACCACAACACGCATGCAGTGTCGTTGTGGTGCCCTGTTAACAAAAAAAGTGTTGTGCCTCTTTTTGTGCAGTAGGATGCACTACCACCCCATTCAAAATGGCACTAAGTCTCTTCTTTTACAGGGTGTAGATTCTTTTACAGGGGAGTTCAACTTTTTTTTTTACTGTAGCAAAATGTTAACTTTAAGAATCATAATTGAATGGTAAGTATGGAACGTGCTTATTTTTTTATCATACAACAAAATAATGTCAAAGTTTGTATATACTAAAAGGAAATGCCACATCATAACTAGGCCAGCTGGAGGATGCTTGCTCAGGGCTAGGGCGATTCCACTCTGACACATACAGTGTCACTGGGGCCTAAACATATCACTGGGAGGTACTGAGCACAAAGGTCAACAGCACAAAAACAGTATATGAATTTTACTGCACTTGGTTTTGGTGATGGTCCCACTTCTAAGCTGTATTAGAGTAGTAGGGATTGAAATGGGGACTGCTAATCCCTGTGATGTGCATGTGGAGAGACAGAAATGCTGTGGTTAATTATAAATCTGGAAAATTATGTTTCTGTTGCAAATGTACACTGTAAAATTCATGTGTTTTATACAAGAGGTCTTCAAGAATCCACCAGTGAATTTTTATGCTATCTTATAACAGTAATGGTATTTACACAACCCATTCCTTAAGAAAGTTGTTCTTTAAAGCAGAACTGTGGCATGATAGAGGACTGGATATAACAGATGAGGTTTTTGTGTTCTGGATCAGCACTGTTTACAATTCTATTCCACATTGGTCTACATTCCAGTAATCCTGGGTACTCTGCTTCGATTCTGCGTGCTGCCTTCTTGTTATTTAGAAAGAAGATGCAATTTGGACAGCTTTCCTATATTTTCCTCATTATTTTGTCTAAATCAAAACTGTTTTGGTTTTTCAATTTAAGAGAAAGAATATTTATAACTTTAGTCTGTTTACTCACCACAGATGTAAAAAGGTATGCTAACACAGTGCTTTATACAATAACAAAGGACAACAAGGTACAAATAATGGTCTACACTCACATGCATCACTAATAGGAGTCAGCACACTGCATATGTGAAATATGATTTTTTTTTTCTTTTTAACACATGCTTGCTTTTGCTCCCTTAGTTTTTCTTACTCAGTGCATTGAAGCCACACACAATGTAATACATTCTTTTTTGTCCCACTTTTCATAGCTGACATCACCACAGATCCAAGTTCAGCTCACACGAGGGTGGAGGGTGGTGTAGGATTTCGCCCCTATTGTCCCTCAGAGGTTTGGACTTCCAGTTTTTAGAATCAAATCTAGCTGCATTGCCAGAGGGAAGTTTTCTGTAGAGTTATGGTTTCATTCTCCTGAGAACAATCATGGCCTTTCCATTCAACTGTTGCACTGTACCAAATGATGCTCATCACTATGCACAAATAATTATTTGATCATGGCTTTTCTTTTGGTATTTAATAGAACTGATACAGAAACA